TGGTTTAACTAGCTTTCTGACTGGCTTTATTTTCAGGACACTTAGAAGGAACATGGTTTCAATGCTGAATCAGAATCTTAAAATCTTAGACAGGATTTCAGAGATTTATTTGCATCTTCTATACCAAGTAAGACTTTTTAGTATCCTGAACAAGGGGTTATCCTATCTGTGTATGAATACTAATTGCTAGAAAGTCTTCCTTTTACTATGGACTGAAATCAAACTCCTGTGGGACACAGGTCCAGGCCTCAGTTCTGCAGCCAAGCCACACTATTGGCCTTGTTCACCTACAGCCTACCAACTGAGACAGCTTTTTTTTTTTTTTGCCTCCTGTCTTCTCTTCAGCTTTATAAATGAATTAGCATTTGTACAGCAGGAGATTTCAGAGATTGTCATGTTACCAACTTTGTTCCAAGAACTACTTGTTTTAAAATGTGGGATTGGAAATGCTCAAGAACCCTCTCCCATCAGTGTTTTTTCAGAGGACCATGTGTAATATCTCCTCAAAGGTCCCCAAGTTATCTATGAAAAATTTTAACTGGTGCTTCTTTCATTTCATTAAAAAAATATTGTACAGGGGGCCAGCCCGTGGCTCATTCAGGAGAGTGTGGTGCTGTTAACACCAAGGCCACAGGTTCGGATCCCATATAGGGATGGCTGGTTAGCTCACTGGGTGAGCGTGGTGCTGACAACACCAAGTCAAGGGTTAAGACCCCCACCTTACTGGTCATCTTAAAAAAAAAAAAAAAAGTTGTACAGGGCTGGCCAGCTAGCTCCACTGGTTAGAGCGCAGCCTTGTAGCACCAAGGTTCAGATCTCTATATCAGCCAGCTGCCAAGAAAAAAAAAATTCAAAAATTTTTGTGCTCGCCAGTTACCTCAGTTGGTTAGAGCACAGCCTTATAACACCTAGATCATGATCCCCATACCAGCCAGCACACACACACACACACACACACACACACACACACACACACACACAAAAGTTGCAGGCTCATTGTACATATTTTGCCATGTAATTTCTATGCCTGCATCTGTGTTTACAATCATGCTTGTATAAGGCAAAGGATATCAGTGTGTGCTGTAACAAAGAAAGTTTCGCAGTAATCTGACAGATAAGCAATAACAGAAAGAAATCACTACACAATACGGAGCATCCTATACTCAAAGTGCCCACATCAGAGCACCGAGTTTTACTATCAAAATGGAAGGCCTTGCAATAGTCCATTTATCAGCACATAGGTAGTAGTAGAAATGAAGAAATTTTCTGTTTTGGTTCCACTTGTAACAGATTAGACAGTCATTAAATACTGATTAAATGGCCTTAGTTTTTTTTTTACCAGTTATGAAGTGGCCCCTTCATGAAACTGGCAATCCAGCAGAACCACTTGCTAGCAGTCTGGGTAAGTATGGGGCCTGATTATCCTCAATGTGCTTGAATCCTTGTTTTGTACAAAAGATTAATGAAAGCAGGCATCCTCTGAATTAAACACAGGGTTAGCCTAAATACAGAACTTAAATCTACATCATTCTACCACTAAACCCAATATTAAGTGATTTAGTTTTAACAAAACTACAAAATCCACCAGATTAAATCAATGTTGCTAATTTAAATTTTATTGGTTTTGGAGGCTTTGTATTCAAACTAAAAAGGCTGTGTCCAAGTTTGAGAAATTTTGTCCTAGGTGAAACCATCCTTCAGCCTGAATGGCCATGGAAACCTGAATTCTCTGAAGAAACACGTTTTGAGCAGAAAGTGGTAATATTTTTCTAATAAAAAATAATAAGAAAGGATGGCAAGAGAGAAGGGACAAACTCTTGAAGCACACAATGAAAAGAAAATAAAAAACAGGGCTGAACAGGCCGCCAGTCTGGAGCCACAAGTTTCTGAATCAATTTTATAGTTTTGGCAAATCACTTCACTACTTTGGACCCAAATATATGTAAATGAGCTAAAAGACTGACAAAGTATCTTTCTCATCAAAATGTTATGAAAAAAGAAGCAATAAAAAAAAGGGGAAAGCACAGTAACGATAATTTTTGAGGGAAGATATGAAATAGACACATATGTAATTCAACAGCAATTGAAAAACAAAAAATGTTTTTTCCAGAACCACCACAGTAATTTTATTTTTCTCTCTAAACACACACACATACAGAGNGTTTTTTCCAGAACCACCACAGTAATTTTATTTTTCTCTCTAAACACACACACATACAGAGTAGAGAAACATTCCCAGTGGAAAGATGGTAAGATCCCTCAATTCATTGGCCAGAAAATCTCAGTAGTGATTTCACCACAAGTTAGCCAGAAACTTGGGCAGACTGCCCAGCAGGATGTAAAATCACATTGTACCCTTACAAATAGGAAGCATTAAGAATTAAATTATTGGGCTGGCCAGTTAACTCAGTTAAAGCGTGGCGTTATTAACGCTTAAGGACGAGGGTTCAGATCCCTGTACTGGCCAGCAGTAAAAAACCAAACAAAAACCAACTAAAAAACCCCTACGTTATGGAACCTGTTTGTTAAGATTATCAATACTTATTTACAATGCTTCAAACATTCAACAAAATTGTTGCTGAACACCTACTGCGTGCCAGGTCGTGTTATATGCTGGCAACATAACCCTGGCAACAGAATGGGCAAGAAACTTGTCCTTTTTCTCATGAAGGTTACATTGTAGTCGAGGTAACAGAAAATTTAGACAAACTAGGTAACTGCAGATTGTTACACATGCTATGACTAGAACAACTATCCCGCTATAAAAATTATAAGACTGGGCCGGCCCGGTGGCGCACTGGATAGTG